TAAGCTAATATATATTAACCTTAACTTAGTAATTACACTAGTAAAAGAAGCTTATCTTATAATGCCTTCCTATTCTAGGTATATATATACTTTTAACTACTTAAAAAAAGAGAATTACTAAATAATAGCTTCTTTTCTATATGCTGTGGTTTTATATAAGGGCTTATAACCTATTAAGTAAAGTAGCTTAAAGGTATAATATATATATATTAGGGAAGCTAACTAGGGCCTAGTAGGCAGGCTATATAGAGAGATGTAGGGGCCTAAGGCACATATATCTTAACATTATGACACACGTCTGTTCTTGGCTGAAAATGACATCAGTTGGTCAATTTGGATCTTCAGATGCTCGACCTCCAGTCTAGACTCATGGTAACCTAGGGGGGGAAGAAAACTCGAGACATCTAGCCTAGGTGACAAAAGAATTCAGGTAATTTCAACTTAGGACTTGTGTAGATTTAGAGGACCATAGGCTGAATACTTTTGGCACCTAGCCTCAGGGATCAGAAGTTTTGCTACTCGCCAAGAGCAACGTCTCGTTCATGCCGCACTACCGATCAGACGGACCTTAAGGTGACGGGACCCTCCCCGCAGCAGGCATTAAGAGCCTCTAATTGGTTGACCAAGCTCTCATTGTTCCAGTCTCGAATGCTCTAGGATGGCTGTTGCCGATGGCCAATTGAAGATCTGCTGCCCGTGACCTCGATACTCGTCACATGGCGGGCGCAATACCTACCTAGATTAGTACTTCTTCTCCTCCACCCTCATCTCCATCATTTCTTTCCGAGGCGATACCTCTCCTGCACTTCTTCATCATACATCGCCTCTAGGTGGTCTATCGTACGCACCTCAATCGCAGCAATAACAGCTTCGTTTATCTATACCATGTCTGCTCAAGATTACTACGGCGGCGGCGGTGGCGGCGGCGGTTATCCTCAGCATCCCCAGCCTGTTCGTTACCCAAGCGCATGAAAAAAACCTTGATCGCGATTGCTAATTATCTCGTTTCGCAGTCTTACGGTCCCCCTCAAGGCCAATACGGCCCTCCCCAGGGACAGTATGGCCCCCCTCAAGGGCAATATTACGGTCCACCCCAAGGTCAACCTCCCATGCAATATCAACAAGCGCCTCCTCAACAAAGTGGTGGCAAGCGCGGCGGCGGTGGCTGCTTGACAGCTTGTCTGGCGGCCTTGTGCTGTTGCTGTGTTGCTGAAGAGGGATGCGAGTGCTGGTAAGTCAACCCTCGTGGAGTCATCGGCGTCATCAACCATTGGAGGCTCTTGACTAGCACCAATTGAGCTCCGCGCGGGCAACAAACCAGACCGAAGTGAATACATACTAATGTGTGTTGCTCTATAGCATCGATTGTTGTGACTGCCTCTTTTAAGCGGCCTGCCTCAGCAAAACAAAGTAGACATAATCCCCACGAACCATATAATCAGTCCGCGCATGGTCCTACGAAAACCCCGAGAATCGTTACACCTCTTCAGACAATTTGTAAAAGATTTTACAAGTACCCTGTCCCTCGATTAATTAATATACGACGTTCTCTCATAGAGATGGTGGACGTGGCATTACCAGTACAAATAAATCTAGTGACCGCACTGAACAGCCGACTGCGGTTCGACGTTCAAGCATACTGAATGATCGATGGGCGTAACTCGTCGTTACCACGTATACGGCAATAGCTATTGTAAAATACACTATCGATATAACCAATTGATATGAATATAGAACATTGAATCATTTGTTTTGAAACTGTACGCGAGCTGATAGCGTTCTTTCATCTACCGTCAAGTTTTTCCCCACCCCACAGGCTGAATGCATTCCTTTCGCCTCATCATTGATAACAAAGCACGCCCGAAGATCACTGATTGAGTTGCACATAATTGGCAGGGAATAAACCGGCTTGTCCAGCATAGTGACCAAACCACCAATCGTCGTCAGGGAACTCCAAATTGGTAATTGTGGCATCTTCAGGGAAGCTCAATTCTGCAAGCAGGATTTAGTGACTGTTGCTTTAGCGTGAGAGTGTATCTTACCATTATCTTCTGCCGCCTCGTAATCGTACAGGGCAACAGCCGTGTGGCCGGCCTCAGCCGGAGCAGCAGCAGCAGCAACCGGAGCTTGGGTCTCGGGCTCGGGCTCGGCAACAGGTGGTGGTGAAGGAGGTGCCGCCGCAGCAGCTGGTTGCTCTGAATCATCATCGCCCACCAATTCAACATAGTTGCTGGGGAATAAGCCGCTCTCACCTCGTGAGTTGGTGCCCATCCACCAATCTTCATCCACCATGTCAATGTTGGTGACAACGTCGCCCTCGATCAGGTCGATTTCGTTGTCTTCAGCCTTCTCGTAGTCGTATTGGATCACCGCACGATAACCTCCCTGAGACTCTTGAGCTGGCTGAGCTGCGGGCTCAGGGGCGCGATGAGGCTCTAGCTCTGGCTCTGGCTCTGGACTGGGCTCACCCTCAAGAGCGCCGGCAGCAGCAGCAGCTCCGACCCCAACAGCAGCGCCTACGGCAATACCTGCAGCCGCACCGCCAGCAAAACGGGCGGTAGATGAAACCTCCTTATCGTCTGCAAGATCAGACTCTTTGGGCACATCAATCTGGCTAGGAGTAATAGGAGGTGGAGCTCGCTGCTCAGGCGGGGTGCCGACTTCTGGTACAGGTCCACGGCTGACTGGAACAGCAACACGAGGGGGTGAGGGGGATCTTTCGCGCTCTGTAGCTGTTTGGTAAGCGGAGGGGTCTTCCCGTTCGTCATCCTGCTCATCTGTAGGTGCTGGTCGGCTGGGCAGTCCGGGAAGGGCAAAGCCTCCTGATGGTCGACCGCTAGGAACAGGCGGCGGTGTGGTGTCGTCCTCTGCAGGGCGAGCAGCGGGAGGGGCAGGGGCTCCCGCACTGATAGGGGCAGTGTCCTTGAAACGGTCTCGCAGAGCTGACACACCTGAAGGCGATGCTGGTGTATCCTCAGGTTGTTCGCCTGTGTTTTCCTGACTGATCTGTCCAGACACGCCGCGACCATAATCGCCAGTCTGCACTGGAGCCCAGCTCTTACCAGAGTAGCCACTCTTCCACTCGCTTCCGCTCTTCTGTGGTTGAACAGGAGAAGTGCCACCGACAGGAGCAGGGGCGGGAGCACTGGAGGTGTCCTCCCCTCTCTCCCTAGCCTTTCGCTCGGCCCATAGTTGGGCAGGAGTCTTTCCGCCTTGATCAGCAAATGTACGGCTTGCAGCACCAACAGGGGCAGACTTTGCGGGAGCGGGAGCTCCAAAGCCTAGGCCACCGGGTGTGGGAGCCTTTGTCCCCGAAAAGCCTCCTGCGCCACCAAACTTGTTGGCGACCTTGGGTTTAGGAAGTGATGTTAGACGTTCCGACTGAGCTGGCTGAGAGAAAGCAGACATGCGTTCCGATACAGGTCGGGTCTCGTCCTCCTGAGGTTTCTCCGAGGCAGCAGGCTTAGCCTGTGCCCGGATTGCAGCGATGTCAACCTTTCCAACGGGTTCGTAGGATCCCTTCACAGGAGTTGGCCTATCATCCTGTTTCTTTTGAGCCTGAGCACGGATAGCTGCAATATCGACCTTGCCAACGGGTTGATAGCCGCCCTTCACCACGTCACCTGCTGTGTCGTCGCGCTTGACGGGGGCGCTTCCGCTGGTAGTCGCCGTGGGTTGCTTGCTGAGATCAGCAATGTTGACCTTTGTGGGCTTGTAAGCAGACTCGACCTTTTCAATCTGGGTCCTTGTGACGGGGGGAGCATCAGCCCCCCACCCATCCTCATCGACATTTTCCTCTCTTTTGGATCGAGCAGCGACGAGTGGGTTGGCACGGCTGGAGGCTGTCGGGGTGAAGACAGGCTTGGTCTTGACAGGAGGAGGTGCAGCAGAACGAGGACTGTCTGAGCTTCCTGCTGAGTACTTGGCACCGGAAGCATCGGCCACCTTTTGCATGATGGAATCAATTTCGAGGTCGCTCTCGGAGCGAGCGGTAATCTGAACATGATATCCGTGGAGGATCTTGGAAACCGCAGCAAGATGGCTGGTGAAGTAGCCCTTAGTTCGCTCAGGAACACCTCCTCCACACCATGCGATCAATATATTCTTGGGAAGGCCACTGTTGGGATCCTTGACCTTGGCAAATGCGAATTGAATGCGACCTTCACTAAAGTCCTCAATCAGATCGGCGAGGTCGCTTTCTGTATGCATGTTAGCGAGCTGATGGGATGATAGACATCCCTTTGTGTGTAACATACCGCCTGTTCCTTGGACCTTGAGAATACTCTCCTTGGCTCCGCTGTCTTGGAAGGCATTCAAAAGAGGGGCCTGGACCGAGAAAAGGGCCCAATGAGCATGAGTGGGAGAGCCGGAAGATGGCGGGGCGCTGTTAACAACACTGCTGTAACTGCTCTTAATGGACGGGCCATTTATCGAGGTATTGAGAGATGCCATCTTGGGGATTCTTGAGGTGTTAGGACGGAGTGAGGCAGACTTGAAGCTGACTAGCTAGGACGACGGAGGTTGGGGGTGACGTTGGCACCGTTGCTGCGGCGGCGGCAGCTCCACACGGAGAAAGAAGATATAAGTTCCGGAGGCGGTAGCCAGGGGAAGGATAATCTGATCAATTCTCCAGTACGTCTGGTATCGCACAGCGTCGAGATATTGCTGTGGGAGCTGTATTTGGGAGAAGTTGAGGATGGAAACTGAACGTAGATCGGGGGACGGTGGGAATCTACCTTCGGACAATCATACAGTAAAGGTCCCAGGAGTGGGTTTCTTGGAGTGTGGCTGATGATGTAGCTTCGTACGTCGTCTGCATCAGTGACCTAAGGTAATACTGGTAGCCAAGGGGATGCAATAAACCTTAGGACCTCTAACCTAGGTGACAAAAAGCCTTAGGTAAACTGAGGTAAACTTAGTATAATTTAGTACATATATAGAGGATCTTAGACTAAGTATTTTTTAATAGTTCAGTTTAATGTCGGAAGTCTTCTTACACCCTGAGGGTAGCTTAAAGAATGCCCAACCTTGGGGCGGTCTAGCTGGTCGACAGTGGGCTGAGCGGGGTCAAGCTGCGCTGTTCATGGTTGTATGCGCTGTATGCTCCGTTGTGCTGCTTTGATGAGCTGTTGTCTGGTTATAGCGATAGGAGCTGTCAATGTCAGCATTACATATCAGAATGCATCTACCAAGGCTATATGCAAGTACCCAACTCCGGCAGCGGAGGGCTGATATATCCACCAGACATAAAGATGCAAGCCAAAGGAAATGACGCAAGGACATTTTTCTATTTGCACAATCTGCTGCCCCTCCTCTCTCCGTATGACTGCCCCTCTGGGTTTGTGAAAACTGATAGACCCCGACTTTATTTGATAATAGACAAGAAGTGCGAGTAATTTATACACAAGCTCGAATTTCTGTGCTCTAAGCTTTAATGGAGTTATTAGTCGACGTAGAGTCGTATTCACAAATCCTAAGTGCCGTGCTCTTACACAGAGAATTGTCTTTACCTTTTCTTACACCTTGCCTGTCATTGGATACCAGTATTTTTACCCCGCCAAAGT